CACCATTCTTTAGGATTTCTAACAAGTTTTGCCTCGAAAACAACTGCAGAAAGATTGATATCATCTATACCATTGGAAATATTGTCCACTTCAGTCATGTGGGCTTGAGCAGGCTTCTTGCTTGTTCTTCTTTTGCTTTTTCCTTTGCTACGGCAATCTTTGGCCCGATGTCTCTTTTGTCACCATTAAACTTGTACTTTTTATTATCCCCCGTTTAGAGTCTTGTGATAAACTTTCTCCAGAAGACTTTCGTTTCTTGGTTTTTGAAACATGTTCCACCACATTTGCCTTAGACTCCATAGGATGCTTACCACCCGCTTTTCAGAATTGCGGTTGTCCCTCTCAATTCTCAAACGCACAATTAATTCGTCCATAGAAATTTCTTTGCGCTTGTGTTTGATAGTTCTTGAACTCCTTCTAGCCTTTTGGTAATTTTTCAATTAAGGCTGCAACTTGGAAGGATTCACTGAGAGACATGTCTTCTGCGTGAATGTCATGCAGAATGAGTTGGAAATCTTGAGCTTAGCTGATCACAATTTTTGAATCAACCATTACAAAATCCAAGAATCTGCCAACCACAAATTTCTTTGAGCCGGCATCTTCCGTTTTGTACTTTTTCTCCAACGATTCCCAAAGTTCCTTTGCTGTTTTGATTGGACTGTAGATGTTGTATAATGTGTTGTCAAGTCTGTTCAAGACGTAGTTCCGGCAAATGAAATCGGCGTGTTTCCAAGCATCAACGCAGCACACCACTTGCCGACAGTTTCATCTCTTTCAGGATAGGAGCATCTTCACAGAGAAAAGAGCCTGGTTCAGAGTTGTAAGATAGAACAACATTTTCTATTGCCATCTTTAAAGTCAGTTCCTGAGAACTTCTCTGGCTTCTCTCCATGATTTATTGGTACTATCATCACAGGAGAGGGGGTTGGTGCAATTGCAGCCACCACAGTAGTACTTGTTTGGGCATTTGTTTCAGTAACCATCAATTCTAATTTATAAAACAAATTTATAATTAAAATTTTTTACTACACAGAATTAAACCAAATTCGCAAAATTAAATTCTGTAAAAATAAAGAAACAAGAATGTAACTTTTATTTTCCAATTAATTTGAAAATAAAATAAAATTTTATTTAACCAAATTAATTCCACACAGAAATTAAATTTCTATAACACATCAATAATTAAAATACTGAAACAAAATTTTAATTAATGAAAAGCCAGAAAATAATTTTTAAAAAACCCAAAATTAATTTCTAAAAAATTCCACAAAATATATTCTGAATTGTTAATGACACCAGTATCGTACTACTAGTTGTCAAAGAAAATAGACAGTATATTACTACAATCTATCAAATAGCATATAATCACTATTTGTTTTTCCAACCAGAATATTATTTTGTAAATCCACAGAAAATAATTTTCTTAAACGAAGAAAGAGAAAAGGAAACAAACGAAAAATTCTGTAATCAGAATAATTCGAATCTGTCTTAAGACTGTTGGAACAATCTTCTGTTAAATAAAATAACTTGAAATAAAATCAAAAAAATAAATAAATAACATACCGGATTTATTTATCGAATCGAATTAAAATTAAGACCAAGTCGAGTGTGTGACACT